ACGACCCCTTAGTGACATTTTGGAATGGTTTCGAATTCTACGTCCACGTCCTACGGATCATAGAAACATTCACGACCTATAGGAAGGGTTTCGTGGAGGTATGGACAATTAATGAGCTCTAGTAACAGTTATACGATTGACCAGGACTGTCTGTATAAGGTCTTATGGCCCGTAGGTCCAACCGTAGACATTGTCTGACAGTTTTTAATTAAGGGTGTTTGAATATTTTTTTCTACCTGTTTAACCACTAAAATATGTCATTTTAACCCTACAACTACCTCTATAATTTTTATTACTCTTCCAAACTTAGCCCAATCCCTCTCATTCACTCAAACTCACAAATTCTTTCAAGGGCTTCTTCTCCAAATTCTCTCCAAGGATCTTCAAGTCAAGCTAGGATTTCATCAAGCTTCAAGGTTTCTTCCTCCATTGTTAGGACTTTGATTACCCAAGTTATGTGTGAATTCATCAATGGATCCCTTTCATCCATTGGTTTTCAAAAGAAAATCAATCTCCAATTCAATTTCACCCAAATTATCTAGGTTTCATGCTAATCTTCATGGGTCCAATTTATTATGATTAAATTGTTATTATATAATCTTATTATGCGTGATTTGATTCAATTACATATTTTTAATTGATTTCATATAGACTTATGCTTTATGCTTGACTTCAGATATGAACTTGTAAACTTCAATTTATGAATTGATTATGGATTCATGCATATATTTATGAAATTGATGATTTATGACTAAAAGATATTTAAAGATAAAATGTCAATGATTTGTGACAGCATTTCTCACATTTGGGAGTTCCGTTATTTAGATGGACAAGACAGATGGCGAGGCAAGAAACCTCGCAAATGCAATTCAATAGGGAAGTGCTCTTTACACTTAAGCTGGTGACTTTCCTTAGTCATTCATTGCGTCTTGAGCCACTGAACCAATGTGAATAAGTGTAAGCTTTGTTGCCCGAACACGATTGGTGCTGGCCACATTAGGTTCTACTGTGGCAGCAAGAGAGGTCAGGCGGTGTCAATTGAGAGGTTGTCAGTGAGCATTCCTAGTCACACGGGAAAATAGGTCAAATTGCAAGGCAAGGCCATATGCACGTTTGGCTCCTCCAATGGATCAGTAAGTTCATGCCACGTATAAATTGAGACCTGAGAAGGAGGTTATAAGAGAGAGTTCAACATAACAACAATCATCTAAGCTGCTCCATGAACACGGCTTTAAGCCCACGAACGCGAAGAACAACATGAGGTACACCAACTCAAGTTGGACTTGGCAAAATGCTCCGATGGGGGCTTGAAATTCGTTCTGATCCTCGCACACACAAATGAACTATGTTACCCTACTAAATTTGACATTCTAGACTAAACAAAGGTGTCAAAACTTTCAAAAGAGGTCGTCTCGACAAAAGCGGGTCCCACACCTAAGCTCTGTTTTGAACCAAAATCCATGAGGTAGCTCGAAATGAGCTTGGAAGTCTAGATTCGCACCAAAGTTCCTTGTAGACCAAACTCGACGTTCTATAGCTAACGGAACCGTCAAAAAATTGCATTTTGAGGTTGTCTACCTAAATTTTTTATCGAAGTGGCCATTCAAGTTCCAAAAGCTCCAAAACACGAAAACTCGCATAAAAACAAAACAAACGACCAGTTGACCGAACTAGTTAGTTCCAGCAAGTGGTAAATGACTCAGGGTCCTTATAGAAAAGCTCTAAATGTCAAAAGTAACTCAATAAAGAGGAAATGACCTAGAGGGTCATTACAGTCATAAATCATCTTCTGAAGGTAGGGAACTCGTCATTTCTCTAAAAGTAACATGCTTTTAAATTTCAACAATCTTAACACCAAATCTACTTTAAAATGAACTCAATTTTAAAACTTAAGTTCCAATATCATAAGACCAAATTCTATTTATCAATTTGTGAGAATAACAATAAATCTAACAAATCTATTTTGTAATAATGATAATTAAAAGCATAATATCTCGATTGCTATAGATTCAACGGAAAAGGCTCAAAAATACCCCTAAATTATTTGAAATAGCTCATATTTTCTCTTAAACTATATTCCGGCTCAAAACTACCCTTCCCGTCATACTATTGGGTCAAAAGTACCCTTCTTATTAACTGAAGCTGTTAAATGCCATGTGGATGCCACGTAAGCGCCACAATTTTTTTCATTTCCACATAGACTAATATTCTTAATCCCTAATTTTTCCCCTCATTTCTCCATTTCCATTTGAAACCATTTCACCCACCCCTTTCCCCTCATTTCTCCATTTCCCTTAGAAACGATTTCATCCATTTCCCTTAAATGAATTAAAACTTATCTGAAATCATTCATGTCAGAGAGTCCTAAGTAGAATTAGTTAACTCTGTAATGGGAAAAGAAATAAGTCAGTTTTCAGTGTGCATTGTTCTTATACTGTGAATGCATAGATGATGGCAGAATTTCAACTGAAAATGGAAGTAATACCTAGAAATTTAATGCCTCACTTGACTTGTAGGAAGCTTGTTTATTACTTCTCAGAATTTTCTTTAAAATATGAAGCTTGTTTGTAGTGACAAAACTGCTAAGAATTATGAACTCACAGGTGTCTTAGTATTTGGTTTAGGTACTTGTATTCCTTTTCTTTTAGCTAATTTACTATATTTGAGGAATTTGCATGATTTACCCTCTACCTAGCTAGTTACAACCATTCTAGACAGTTACATCAATGTAAATGAATGTTCCAGTAACATTATTCACCATAGTTTGGAAGCTAAAGTTTGAAAAACAAACAGTGGCCACTACTAAATCCACTAAGCCATGAAATTGAACATGTGAACAAAAATAAGCTAAAACTAAGACAATGCTGCTGCAATGAGTGGAAAATTAGGAAAATGGATGAAATGGTTTCAAATGGAAATGGAGAATTGAGGGGAAAAATTAGGGATTAGGAATATTAGTCTATGTGGAAATGAATGAAATTGTGGCGCTTACGTGGCATGACATGTGTCATCCACATGACATTTAACAACTTCAATTAATAAGAAGGGTACTTTTGACCCAATAGTATGTCAAGAAGGGTAGTTTTGAGCCGGAATATAATTTAAGAGTAAATATGAGCTATTTCAGATAGTTTAAGGGTATTTTTTTAGCCTTTTCCGTAGATTCAAAAACACTACGACTAAGAAGAAGAAAGAAGATCAGGAGGAAACATGTTTATGCCGGGTACAACTTAAATGTCAGCGACCAAATAGGTCTGCCCGTATATATTTGAGGCGAAGATGGCTAACTTGAGTTAAATATGGCTAAAATTAGTTATTTCTTATACTGTATTAAAAAATATAATGCATGCATTAGTTTTAGGTATTACTAGTATCATGTTTGATACACGTTTGGTATTAATGTATGTGTAACTAATAAATGAAAATTCAGTATTCGTAATGCAAGGTGTTTTAATTTATGTATTAGCATATTTTTTAAAATAATTGTCCCTCAAAATCTTTTCTATGTCTTTTTCACCATATTTGTAGAGGATATTTTTATACATAAATATTAATACATCAAATCAAACAATGCAAGAAATAATATTTGCATAACTAATAGGCGAAATGGTCTTATGGACCCTTGGACTTGTATGAGTTTGTATTCTGAACCTTTCAATGTACCTCTTTACCAACTGAACCCTTAAATTCAATGAAACTCAACATGTTAAATCCCTCTGACTGTTAACCAAGCTTATGTTGCAACTTAATTGTTGAGTTGGCACAAATACGTAATTTCACATTAAAAAAGGAGCGTAGAAATAAAAATTTAGACTCAAAATAATTAAAAGAAAAAAATAGAATAAAAGAACAAAAAAAAAAAAACTCACTTCTTTCTCCACCCCCCTCCCCATTTCTTTTCCTCTTTCTATCATCACCTTCCTTATTCTTCCCCCACCCAATCTCCCATTTCTTTCGTTCTCCCATCCCCACTCCTTTCCAATTTCTTTCTCTTTCTTCTTTTTCGTTTTCTTTTCTCCTAAGTTAGAAACGAAATCGTGCAAAAAAATAGAATATTATGAACAAAGAAAAATGGAAAAAATTGGCTCAATACACATAGCCGCGGAAGAAGTATGTCTAATGAGAACTTTTTTTTTTGTTGCAATTTTAGTGCTCATCTTTAAATTTGCTATTGTTCTTGATTTGTCTTTCTTTTTCATTTTCTGAGGTAAAGTGAGAAGGATTCGATAGTTTGAAAGGTGAAAAGTAATTATTGAATGTCTTTGTGAAATTAGATAAAATATGTTGCGTAAAATTGTATAGAAATATTACAATATATTGATATATTAAAAGTGATTCATTGGCATTAATAGAGAAAAGGATTTTACAAGGGTTGGTCAAGTAACAATGAAGGGACTAATGGAGTGAAAAAGAAGAAAAAAAAGTTATTTTAATAAATTAAATAATAACTGATGTGTCATATAAAATCTGATGAGGATGATGACATGTCAATTTTATTGTGCATTTGAACTTCATACAAAGCCAAAGGGATTTAAAATGATGAGTTTCATTGAGTTTAAGGTTTCAGTTGGCAAATAGTTAAATAAAAAAGTTCAAAATAAAAACTCATAAAGTACAAAGGTCCATCAAACCATATTGCCTAACTAATACCGGCATTACTAATAATGCCCCTATTCAGCATTATTCTTATACACCATATCAAATGACCCCTCAAAGAGTAAGTTGGATTGGAAAGGAAAGCAAAACACATACGTAAGATTGCTGAGTGCTGTCAATTTCACAGAAATAGACAAAATCCTCTATAATATCGGTACTAATACAAGTCGCATATGGCCAATTGTCAAGTCATCAAAAAGCTTCAAAACCAAACAAATTCCCTATACGAAAATTGGCAATGCAAGAGGTAAAACATGCAGCCACAAGTGACTGCTAATTCTTCAGTAAACAAGTATACTACCACTATGACTGTATTGATTGCATTCCCTGTTGTATCGGTAGAACTACACGGAATAACGATTCTTGGCAGCTCTGTCAAGCTTCTTTGCATCATCCTGCAAAACAAATGGTTCTTGATGAGAGTTGCAAATCAATGATTGAGCAAATCAATGATTGAGTATATAACCAAGACATCTTACATGAAATATAAAGCCAATTGTGTCATTGTAATCCAGAAACTCTTTCCATTGTTTACCAATACTCACCTGCAATGAAATGCTCATTTAGATGCAAGTGGATGAGGCTAGTAGACAGGGGGGAGGGGGGAGGGGGAATGCGGAATGCCGTATCGTGTAATTCTAGAAGAAAAAGTAGGAATGGACAAGAAATAGGAGTGGGAGGGTTGGAAACATGAAAAAAAATAATTGGTTTAGAATAACCAAAGTGGCAAGACACATGCATTATCTCAGAAGTAGTCAAAGATATATAGCTACTGTATAGATGGACTGGGTAAATTCAACCACACAGTGAATAGTACTCTATCAATTTGGGGGCAAAATACTTCTTACTACAGTTTCCATTCTCACAAGCCTCTCGTCATTGGAGCCAAGTAACATCGGCTATCACAAAATCATACAAAAAAATAACTATTTTACAAGACTGATGCTGCAACTCAAGGAAACATACCAAAATTTTACAGACCACCTAATACAGGCAGAGACCAACTAGGAACACAGTACTCCTTATTAATTCAATGTTTCATAGGGAAAAGAAATTTAAAAAGAAAGGCCAAAACTGAACCATTTATAGAGTTCCGTATGGATGCGCAGCCACTACACCTCAATCCCATACAGTGGGGAGTCGAGTAACCATGTTTCTCCATTTAAGCCAACTCATCTCATCGTACCTTACGAATATGACAATGCAAATTCTAAAACTACATCCTGCACTCGAAGGGAATACTGAAAACAACCAATGGTTAACACCAAAATCTGCCAATAAACTTTCTAATTTTTAATTCTGATATCGTAGCATACAACTGCTCTGTTCCTGTCCCAAAGCTTTGCTTTTCATTCCAGTTAAAAATATCAATACATTTAAGTTGATTGTATTCATAGTTTCGTAAAAGATTTAGAATGTTTTGGAATCCAGGCTGTTCTTCTCCAAGCCATTATTGCTAAAGCTACATAACAGAGAATGCAGATGGTGAAAAGTTAGCTCCACCTGTTAGAAAACAATACTTAACTTCAAGACTTCACTAATGGTAGATGACGTAACAGTTACAAGTTTCTGAAACCAAAATAAGAGTTCAGGGGTCCATCACTGAAAAAAAGCATAGAGGTAAAATAGAAACTTCTTAGAAAATATAGGGGGTTTTCCTAGAACTGCTATGAATGGATAACATAATGAAAACATATCTATTAATAAACTTCCGCTAACTATTATTAGTCAGGAATCGCATTTCAATTTTAAGCTGTAGCTTTGGCCTTTTCAACATAAAAAGTAATTTGTTATTTTTCTACAAGTAACTAAATGTTTTTTGAAATAAAGTAATTAAACATTTAAAACGCTTCGAAGTAGAGATGTCTATCTGATCACTAGTAACGTTTGAGTATAAGGGGCTATCTTTAATTTAGCCTTAGAAATATATTTAAATACAATAATTACTATGCCTCAATCCAAGTTAGTTGGGGCAGGCAGTATGAACACCATCATAAATGCTTTGTTTGAATCCATAATATTTTTATATTCAGTATTTTAGGACATCTTTCGCTGGGTATGTTGTTGAATTTTAGGACATCCAACAGTAAGATTTCTCACATATGCTCTTCCAGTGGTTATGTCTCTAATATACTAAGAGTCTAGTAAGCACTAGTCTTTTAGATGGTATCACCCATACGAATTGTCAATGTACTTTATTTTTTAATATTTTTGATGGGTTCGTATATTATATTTTTTCATCTTTTGATAGAACAACCTGGATTCCGGAATATTCCAAATCTTTTGAGATAACTCCTTTCTTAGGTCTACCTCCTCTTTCAACACCATCAATAATGTTTTTACAGCTAAAAACTGGTGCTTAAGAAAGCCTACATAACACATGGCTACACATCTCAAGCAATAGTCTCTCATTTTATCATTCTAACCTTCTAACACATGTGATCATTTCTAATCTCATGTAGCTATTATGACTGCACATTTGTCTTAACATTGGCATATCTGTAGTACTAATCTTGTGGATATTTTGGGCTTTAGAGGCCCAATATTCACTCTAATACAAAAGTGTTAGCCTCGCAGCCATTCTTAACTTCTCTTTCCCTTTGGTAGGTATCTTACTATCACATAACATTTATGTGGCACTCCTTTTCAACCATCTTACTTGAATATTCCTATGCTTGGCATTTTCATCCATCATTCCATTCTCCTGAAACAATGAGCCTAAACATCTGAATTGTCAAACATTTAGGTACCTCAATCCATTCTAATGTCACCTCAACTTCAGTCATATCTAGCTGGCTAAACTTGCAGAATATGTATTATGTCTTACTCCTACAAAGTAACTTTGGTTTTATGATATTTGTTCACATTATCATCCCAAACCCAGATAAAGGAAGAGGACTGTAGTAGATTAACAACCAACACAAAACTTGTTATGCCATGATGAATCCATATAATGCAAATTTCAAAATGTATTCTTCCCATAATAAAATTGTAATGACCCGGTCGGTCATTTTTTGAAAGTTTTGTGAATTTACCGTTTTGCCCCTCCCGATATCGACCCCGAGTCTCTTATGATTGAGTTTGAAAAAGTTGGTTTTAAATTTTGAGTTAAAAGTTGAGAATTTGATAAGTTTTTGCTTTTGAAAGGCTAAGTTGCTCAAAAGTGGTTTTTGGAGCCTTTTGGAGCTTCGAGTGTCTGAATGGAATTCCATCGATTCCATCAATCCCGTGGAATCTGAGCTGTGAGAGTTGTCGGTTGCAACTTCCGAGTTTTTTTGAGGATTTGAGGTCCTAAGTTGTGAAATTGTGGAAAATTAGCCCTTGGGTTGACTTTGGTCAACATTCGGGGTTCGAATGCTCGGATCAGAATTTTCGAGAGTTTTGTTGGATTCGGGGGATGATTTTAGGCCTAGGTGAGATCTCGTCGATTTTTGAGAGTTTCCGAGCTTCTTTTAGACTTTTAGGCATTAAGTTAGTTTCTTGTGGTTTTCACGGATGTCGGGTAAAGGAGACCTCAGATTCGTATTTTGACAGTTCCATTGAGTCCGGAACGTTGAGTATAATTGATTTGCATATGTGGTTTGTGTGCAAGGGGTTCCGAATGAATCTCGAGGGTCCTTTCGATGTTTTTGTGTTGGCTGATGTTTTTGGTGCTGCAGTCTTTGCTTAAGCGGAACCTGGTTCGCAAAAGCGAGACTGGCCTTTTGGGCGGGGTTCACCATGGTTCGCTTTAGCGATGGTCGCTTAAGCGGAACCTGGTTCGCAAAAGCGAGACCCCCAACTTTTGCGAGGTTCACTTAGGTGGAACCTGATTCGCATAAGAGACATCTGAGAGGGTTTTTGCCTGCCATTTTCGGGTTTTAAGGCCCATTTTTCATTTTTGAGCTTGGGGAACCCTTGGTGGCGATTTTTGAAAGGATTGTTTGTGCTAAGTCAATTGGGTAGGCTTTTATGATCCTAAACCTTCATTTTTCTTTGGTTAATTATGAATTTTGATTAGTAAATGGCAAGCTTTTATGATCCTAAACCTTCATTTTCCTTTAGTAATGTTTTCAAGTATTAAATTTTGGATTCAAACCTTTATTCTCGGAATTGGGTTTTGAGTTGATTGACCCATTTTTCAAAGTAATTGATGTGGGTATTGTTGTTTCCAAATATTTATTGTGAATACTTGATTGTTATAGATTGTGTGGCTTCGGGAGTGATTCGGAAGGGGAAGAGACTCATCTCATGGAGTGATTAATTGTGTGATTTAAGGCAAGTGATCTCCTAAACCTTGTACGTGTACTTCCTTCGTTGCTTGTGTGTTGGGAGTAATGGGGATGGGGTGAAGGGTTTAATTGTCCACTTGATATATCTAAATGAATAAAAAGGGGTTGAATTGAAAAGGCTATGTGATGAACATGATGATGTGAATTGCCTTATTGTGACCCTTGTTGATTGATTGATGAAATGTTTGATAGCATGAATGTGGACTTGAATTGCATGAGTGTGTGCATTGATTGTGGGACACCGTGATGAGACATGTGATGTTTATGATGCCGAGGTCATTGCCGGCGAGTGCCATTATGCCGAGGTCATTTTCGGCGAGTGTTGTGATGTCGAGGTCATTTCCGGCTAGAGGATTGATATAAAGCCGACGGGAAATGGTTCCGGCTAGTGATATTATGCCGATGGGAAATGGTTTCGGCGAGGGATTGATTATTGTGACTTGAGGCATTTGGTGTTTATGTGTGACTTGCTTGTTAATTGTGTTTGAGACTTACTTGATTCGTTTGATTGTGGAACTGTGATTATTGAGCCTTGTGAGTTGTGCATTATAGAACTGCTAGGTTGGGTTGATTTCTGTGCAGGTTGTAGTTTGAGGAGGTTCGGTCGGAGTGTAAGGTTGCTTGTTGGGTACCGTGTTGTTGGTACTCACTCCTTGCTTCTACACTTCTGTAGGTTCCAAGCCCGGTATAGCGTGATCGTCCTTCTCTTACTTTCCGAGGCTTGTCAAGGATTTGGAGAGGTAGATGCTTGTTACTTCAGCGGGTCCCTCTTTTTCCTTTTTCTTTATACTTTGTTTTATTTGAGAACAAAGGCTGAGACTTGTAATTATTTCAATTCCGCACTTTATGTATTTAGTAGCTTGTATAGGCGACAACCAGATTTTGAGGGTTTTAATAGAATGAATGTTTTCTGCTTTATCTTGTCTTGCTTTACTCTTTCCGCATTTCTTTTGTTTCGTTGGGTTGAGGCTGACTTGTCTTGGTGGGAATAGACAAGTGTCATCACGTCTGTTGCTGGGTCGAGACAAAAATAGAGTCTACAAATACACAAGGTATTTACGTTTGAGCTATACGATGTTGTTGACTAAAATGTAAAACCAAAGAAGTGAAACTATTCAGGCCACTTTGTGTGCATTTTGACAAACCCACCAGGTATTTGTTACTTCTCAACAGCACAGGACCATCAAGGCTTAGACACATGAAAAGAAATCACCTAACACCTTTTGCCCCTGTAGGGATTTGAAAACTAGTCTCTCATGGTCCATTTCAGCATTGACCACAAGGTTAAACCCTTGGATGCATGAAAATGTTATATATATATAAATATATTGTGATATGGGAATAAGACAATACATCTTTGTTAGGAAATATGTACCAGTTTCTGATTGTGGTAACAGGCTATTTAAGGGAATTAAAATAGTACCTATAAAAATTAGTCTTTACTTACCGTCCTGATGATTAAATACAGAATATGAACACATGATGCCCGGAGCATTCAGCACTAAACTGCCTCTTTGCACATATATTTAACAAAATACTAGAGAGAATTCATGCAGCATAATATATATAGGAAACCTAAAACTTCATATATAAGTGCTCATAGAAGACCTAAAACAGCACATGTAAAGGCATGCTATTTCACAAGTAAACAGACACTCTTGATGCCATTATTTTCTCTTCATGCATGATGCATCTCTAAATGTAGATACACTTGTTAAGACAATTTAAAAAGTTCCAAGGATTTGACTTTGTGACAATCTTTCCCGTTGGTGCATCCGTTGATGTTAATACATTTCTGTTAAAAACCACTTAGAAAGTTGCTAGAATTGAAACAAGAGCCTTTTGATGAAGTGGTTGTGGAGATATACTAGTGAGGAAGGAACCCTATGGAAGGAGGTGATAGTGGCAAAGTATGGGGAATTGAACCCATGGTGTACAGAGATAGTATCAGAACCCTATGGATGGGGAGTATGGAGGTCAATCAGAGCTTTATGGAACTCTATGGAAGAAAATGTGTTTCTCAAAATTGGAAATGGCAACAAGATCAAGTTTTGGAGAGATGGATGGATTGATCAAATTCCTCTAAGTGAGTCATTCCCAGATCTTTTCTCAATCTGCAACAATCCTGAAGCCAGAGTATGTGAATGCTGGACAACTCAAGGCTGGGACCTATCTTTCAGAAGGCTATTGAATGACTGGGAAGTAGATAGAGTAGCCTCTTTCCTGGGAAAATTGGGGGGAATCAATCTAGTAACAAATGCACCAGATAGAGTTATTTGGAAGCACAACAAGGATGGCAAATTCACAGTAAACAGTGCTTACAAGAAAGGCATACAAGTTGGGGTTAGAGGCTACCATCATCAATGGAAGAGTATTTGGAGAGGATTGATCCCCACCAAAGTGAAATGCTTCACTTGGTTAGTCATCAAAAGAGCCTGCTTAACTCAAGAAGTGCTGCAGAAGAAAGGAAAGCAACTAGTCCCTAGGTGTTTCCTGTGCAATTTGACTGGGGAAACAAACAATCACCTATTTTTACATTGCAAATTCACTGCACAGATCTGGGAGCTGTTTCTCAACATCACATGCTGTAGCTGGTCTATGCCAGAACACACCTCTGATCTTTTTAAGTGTTGGATCAGAAGAGGGGGTAGCAAGACTCAAAAGAAGTGGTGGAAGCTAATACCATCATGCATATGGTGGTCAGTGTGGAAGGAAAGAAATGGGAGATGTTTTGAAGATAGATCTAATTCCATTCACAAAGTAAAATGGAATTGTTTGGTATCTTTACTTTTTTGGTGTAAACAACTTTGCATAGAAGATGTAGATCAAATTATAGAATTAATAGGGAGCTTGTAATTTCGCTTAGGGCTGTAAATTTTGAAGGTGGCCAGCATGTCCTTAATGCTGAAGAATACAACTTTACCAATGTTCAAAAAAAAAAAAGTTACTAGAATTGGAATTCAAATTCCAACCAATCACCAATGTCATTACTTGAAAAAAACAATTGTGACCGACGTTCTCCGTCTCAAGCTTAACACTATCTACTGGTGATTCTAGTGTTGTCTACTGCCATTACTATTAAATGGAGTCACTAAATGGGATACATAACGTTTAAACAAATCACGACAAAATTAGACACTACATTTTTTTATTTCTCAACTTAGTCCCACAAAGTAATGAAGCTGATTGTCAAAGCCAAAAAACAGGTAGTAATAAGTACTTATATTATGCCTTTTTTGGTTTAAAGAAATTACCTGAGCTGTTTCATTGGCAGCATTCCTGGTCCACAGAGCTATTTTTTCTTGTCTAACTCGAACATTAATAACCGCTCCACAAATTTCATCTCCATAATCAAATTGCTCTCCAATCAGTGCCAGAAGCTACAGTTAATTCCATATCAGAAAATTTAAGGATGACCTTCATCCATATGGGAAAAGAAAAAAGCCAGATTAGACACAAGATTAAGAATCAGATAGGAACATCATGGGCATACCGTATACAGCCAGCAGGTATCAGATTTACCCCTAGAAAAGTTCATCGTCCACTTCCCTCCATTGGCACATACAGGATCCTCCCACTTTGGCTCAATTTTATTTTTAAAACAATGGAAGTCTGCACCCACGGCCAACTTGCTTGGGTGGTGAATGTTGTTGTACACACTGCAGAATATTCAACAGGAATATATCAAAATATCCAATCCATGATCTCAGAATATAAAATAAAGCATGCATGCTTCATGATCTTATATTTCTTTTTATAACTGGGCCAGCTTGCCCGCACCTCAACTAATTCCACAAAGTATCTGCTACATCCCACCAACACAAGTACCAAATAACTCTAAGCATCTTGACTCTTGAGAAAAATGTGGAAAACATATTGCCGGCACCACCAGCACATGTTTTCTTAGAAAATATGTGGTCTTATTTTTCCATTTTAGTTAGTGAGTAGAAAATACTTTCCACCATATGGTTGCTAAGGAGAAAAACAAATTTCCAACAATCTATATATTTTCATAGGATAATCAATAAAATATATCAAAATTGAAAGTGAAAAAAAGATGAGATTTTAAGGAGTAAGTTTTAGAAGCAACATTATTACTCCCTCCCGTTTCAATGTAAGTGTCTTAGTTTGACTAGATATGTTGTTTAAAAAAAATATGGGAGACTTGAATCTTGTGGTCTTAAATTGAAGTTGTGTAATGCACCAAAATGCCCTTTAAATTTTGTGTCCATAAACATGCCAGAAATGTCGGAATCAAAGGGTTACCAAATATAAAAAGAAGCATTCTCTTTTAAGCAAACTAAAAAGAAAATTAAGACACTTAGATTGAAATAGAGAGAGTATATTATAAGTATTAATATGTTACTTTATCAAAAAAAATAAAAATATTATAAGTATTACAAGGAAGTAGGTTTATGGCATGCAGCAGCCATCATCAATACATTAGCTTTTGTGTGTTCTGTGTCATGTCTTGAAAAAGTACGTTTTTGGTAATGTTCAGTAAAAGATCGACTTCAAAATAAATAATAAAAAATAGAATTCAAATTAAATAATAAAAGATCGACTTCCAAGTGGTCTTGATGACCCAAAAAAGCTATAGAAGGATTCTAACAGCTTTCTCTTGTACTGGGGTTCAATACCAGCTTCACAGTGGAGTGTTTTTCAATAAAATTACCATCTATTTTTGTTATTTCATCAATAAAATTACCATTACTTATCAAAATATCATTTTGAGAAAGGTTAGTTATCAAAATATTTTGATGACCAGGAACAAAAAAGAAGGAAAAAGGAGACCATAAAAGTAGTAAAACACAACAAAAATACAAAGAAGGCAGTGTATAGTACAGCCCAATTAATTTATGAAATAGAACTCTACTGCAGACCCAATACAACTTCCATAAAATGAATCTTCTAACAATTCTGGGATCTCAAAGCTATGTTTCGTGGACTCTTCAAAATTCATGTTGCACCCTTGTCAATACCTATCAACACGACATGAGTGTGGGTGTGGGATCAATACCTGATTTGGTCAACTTATCATGGACACTTTGACTACATTGAACGAGATGTATAGATTGATTGGGTATTTGATTTGATTTTTGAGTTTATGTCATATATATATAGTTATATAAAGTATGAAAATGATTTTCTATTACGTGAGATATCTTATGAATAAACTATTGGTGTTCATTTAGAATAAAGTTTTATTAGTTTTAGTTCAATGGCTTTAACATATCAAAATATATAGTTTATATGTCGTAATATATATTTTATTGGCCGTATCCCTGCACCCATATCCACAAATTTGCACTTAGATCCATACCCCAAAATTCTAAAATTTGTGTGTTGAAGAATCCAACCTCTAGATCAGCACCCATATTGGATACCCACACCCAAGTCCGAGCAACATAGTCTCAAAGTAAGATCACGCCCTCTCCCACAATAACCACTAATCTCAAAGTAAGACCACACCTCCCACTTTGTTCAGGGAACTTTGTGCCTCAATGCAGGGCCTAATTCTGATTCCATATTTGAATATTACATGTTCATACTTGGCGCATCATCGCGATCTCGTGACATCATTTGAGTATATGATCTTCATCAAAAGTCCGCTCGACTTGATCTATTCCATCCATCCATACCCAAATTGATAGTCACAATTATATTACACATTTCTTTTATTTTTCCATTACATTGAGAGATCAAAAGGGGGAAAGGATGTAAATTTGAGTACACCTATATTTCTCCTTATTTTCGTGTTTTGATCTTCACGTTTCAACACAATGATCTAGTTCAGGGCTTTTGAATTCCTTCAAACGCACAGTACTAAAGAACGTATACATCACAACAAGTTAATATACTCAAAGAAGCACATTACTTATGAATCTACATATTAATTAGCTATAATTAAAGGTGAAGTAACAAAAGCATGTCATGCATGGATGAATGGAAGTGAATTTTTCTAATGCATGTGTCATTATTTTCCATTCACAACTTAACAGAGAATTTGACAACTTCAAATAAGAAAACGAAAGCATAAAAAGCATACTACTACGAGTAAGTACTAGAGATTTATGCTACATGCAAGCATGTAAAATTCTGAATTTCTTCAAGTCATCCTTGATGCCTATTGTAACAACTGCTGTAAACGTCACTCCTCATGTATGTTTAAGAGGATCCAGGATTTACAGCAAAATTTTAACTGGCTTAAATTCACATTATATATCTAATCATTACAAAAATTACAAATCGAAGGCAGATAATCAGAACATTAGAAACCCTAATCCTACCGATGAAGTTTTTCTCAAACGCCCAAAAAAAGAAAGCAAAGTTAATGGTACCTCCAAAAATCTTCAGCAGCGGAGAAGGTGTAAATGGGGCGAATGGAACTACCCCAAGCAGCTTGTTTCGATTTCCCTGAAGGGTTATCGAACCAAAATGTCCAAGAATGTTCTAGTGGATGTTTCATAGTGATTTGTTTCCCTAAAGACGAGGCCGTATCATCCGATTCCCCTACGATCTCTCCTTCCTCACCTCCGTCTTCTACAGATGACGTTTTGTATTCCTCTGAAGCAGCTTTGTTTAGTTCATCAGCCATTTTTGGTGTTTTTCTCTAAGCTTTCGTCCAAGAAATTTGTGGGGTTGGTTATGGATTTCAGTTGAACTCCTCAAATTGTATTTGGGAAAACTCCGGTTTGTTTGTTGACAGTTTTCACCCTAGACCCGCTAATCTTTTACTTTTTGGGCTGGGCTGCAAATAGGCTTTCTGTAAAAAGAAAAAAAATCACAAAGAGCTGCTATAATAAACTTTCATAGTTATAGTTTGTATATTTACAGGATATAGTTACAATTTAAGTTATCTTATTTGTATAATTCATGGATTTTCACCCTAGACCCGCTAATCTTTTACTTTCTGGGCTGGGCTGCAAATAGGCTTTCTGTAAAAAGAAAAAAAATTACAAAGAGCTGCTATAATAAACTTTCATAGTTATAGTTTGTATATTTACAGGATATAGTTACAATTTAAGTTATCTTATTTGTATAATTCATGGATTTTCACCCTAGACCCGCTAATCTTTTACTTTCTGGGCTGGGCTGCAAATAGGCTTTCTGTAAAAAGAAAAAAAATTACAAAGAGCTGCTATAATAAACTTTCATAGTTATAGTTTGTATATTTACAGGATATAGTTACAATTTAAGTTATCTTATTTGTATAATTCATGGATTT